GGGCTATTCTCCTGTTGTCCTGAGCAGTCAAAATACGTGGACGGCCAGGAATAGGTTGTGAGCGATAGCTGCCAGGGTCTTGAATGAATCTAGCAATGCATGAAAAAGAGCGGTTCAGTTGCCGCTTCAAAAGTATGTGCACACTCACAATTTTTCATTTAAAAGGTAACTAAAGAACCCACCGTAACGAAACCACTCTCAAACGATTCCTCGTAGTCGATAACCTCTACAGAAATTTAGGGGGCCCTAACGATTCCTGATTTCGGTTATATTTTTGTTTTTTGCTAAGTGTGCACATACTTTTGAAACAAAGAAAAATTTTTCCTTTAATAAAAAATTATGTTAGCAGCTACGATGTTTTCTCAGAGAAAGTGTTCGAGGGTTATAGCACACAAGGAATTCAATGGTAAAGATCACAGGTTACAGGAAGCAATGGTATCCCCAAAAAACAAAATGTTGGGTGTGCACATACTTTTGAAACACACTGTAAGGTAAGAACTCAACTTTTTTATCGTGAACGGTGCCTTTAATCCCAGTTTCAGGAGTAAAATATCGAAGAAATAAACGGCGGTTGGTTGGAATTCGACTTATTTTCCGCTACTCTTTTTTGTTTAAAAAAAACGTTTTTGTGCAAACATTGAAAAACAAATAAAAACAAAATAAAAAACTATTTTATCTAGAGTATCTGGAAGTAGTACAAAACTCGATCACGCGTACATCCCCTCAATGCGCTCAGTCGGTGACCACAGCGATGAACCAAGTCGCTTCGCTGCTACAGACGGCATCTGGCAGGCAAAGTCTGAAGACCACCTTCAAGTACGTCATTAGTAAGTCCCACTCTCTAGAGATGCAAGGAACAACTCTGATGTTTAGCCTTTGCGAGGATTTGGATCCGACAGATGCGAAACAAATTGAGACCTTCTGGCAGACTGTCTACAGTCCTTACATGGAAGTAGTGCAGTACTCTGGAGACAATGCTGTAAGTTTTTGGGTGTGGCACACAGAAGCTTTCAAACAGCGACGTAGCCTGCGTCGGCTTCCTTTGAATAGCGCTTCAGTCAGGCTTTTACAAAATTCTTCTTTTCAATCTAAATAATTCAAAGAGCACTGGAAGGGCATACTAAAATTTTGATGGCAATTGCGGATATGCTGGAATCCAGTGAACAGCTACAAGGGTTAACTAGCTCTGACCATCACTGAAGGCACAACTAGCGATGGATGAGGTGTGATAAAGGTAATGGGATGAAAGTATTCCAACAGCGGAGGAGTTTTGAAAAAGGGCAGTGACTGAAAAAAAATTGGCTGCAGTAACTCCATGTTCACGGCCTGGTTCACCCCCAGCGCTGCCTTCGGATGACAGTTTGACACGCCCCCAAGTGGGCGTTCCCGGCGACACTGATCGTTTTAAGCCCTGATTACTCTTTAAATTGATCGTTTCCAGTTCAGTAAAAGCGATGGCTCTCCATCAAACCCTGCGTCTAATCCTTTGGTGCTCACTCAGGATATCCAAGTTCTATGTCTAGCTGGGACTTTAATCGGAGCTGATGCCAGAGTTATTAATGTAGCACATTTCCCCAGTGTTTTTTGTCAGAACAGTTTTAGAACTGTAAAGTGGACAGTGGGCGTAGGTATGTAAGGGCAGGTGACGCACTATCACACACACACATGAGCCAGGTTCGAATGCCGCATCAATATACGCCTAGTTCAGTCAAGCATTCCGTTTCTAAATTGGTATCAGACTTGTCTGGGAGGGTAGTGTCATTGAGTAGTACGTCGGCTGGTCATCCTAAGACATTTTATGGGCCTCATACACATCTACGTCCCTGCGATTTTGAATTGAAATCAAATGCGGGGCACATCCCAGAAATGGGAATGGTCAAGGCTAAAAATTTCATCTTTATCTTTCAATCCTGGTTAGTCATTCATGTTTCAGAAAAAACTTTTCCACACTGACTTCTTCTACATAATAAACAATTGATTTTGAGTATCATTTTCTGAATTAAGGGCTTTTTCGCTAGTTTATTGACGATCCAAAATGCAATCTGCCGTTTCCATAATACTCAGGACAATTCGTTAACCAAATTACGAGAGGTACTTAAGGCTTTCCTTGTCTTGGAATGATTCCATTCTATCTATGAGTGACTCGTTTCAGGTAAACAATTATTTCAATGCACTGATGGGTTACAGTGGCTGTGAAGATATCGATTACTCGAGCTTTATCGAATTCATGCAGGACACCACCTATGGGGATGCACAAGAAGGTAAGAAAAAGAGTCCAGTTCACCGGTCACATCCTTCAGTACTTGATCGCGCAGTTGTCCTTGTATTCCCACAGGAATTCCTCTTTTACAGTACGAGCTTGGGTCTGGCAAACCTGTACGGAATTCGGCTACTATCAGTCTACTGACTCGCACACTGCTGGACCATTCTTTGGTGGAGAGCCGGCGTTACCAGTGCAGTAAGTGCGCNGGGGGGGGGGGGGGGGGAATAGCTGAAGCGACTAGGGATAAAATGTGTTCGTAATTAGTCGGTCCTCTTTTGGTTAGCCATGTGTTCTATTCCAATCCAACGTTGTGGAGGTACCTGGTGGAATGTCGATAGAGTTTATAGGATGCAAACAAAGCGGGTAGGTGATGGAGACCAGCTCAAAAGTGCCTTGTTGTCGAATAGAATTCAAACGTTGCTGCGATTCTGAACAGAAGTCGAATGTGCGGCGCATACCACGCCTGGATTGGTCAAACCCAAAAGATTTTCTGCTCATAAGGCCTTGGAGCAATTCTATCGAAAAACCATATGTGTGGTTTTTGAAGACGTTGTTTTGCTTTCTATACAGGTACTACATTGACGAATGTACTGCTATTTATGGACCTGACTACAACTCAGCATCGGTAGCAGCAGCTGTCGCAAACGTCAACAGCTATTACGGTGGAAGGGACCATATGGATGTAGGTGGTCCCTTCCTACAGAATTCCTTGATGGAGTCTTTCTGTTTACATAAACAGTTTTCTTTATTCCTCGACTCCCTTTTTCAGGTTTTGATAGGTTTTAAACTGATTTTTTCCTCTTTCTTTATCTCCTAATATTACCTTACTTCCAAGAAGGGGCGTGAATCTTGGCTTGCTCTATTTATTCCTATATTGTTGCTATATGTTTTCTTAGCTCAATTGATTAGCTAATTAAAAAGCGTATCTGGAAACCAATAAATCAGTTGACTAACAAAATGAATAAATGAACCGATTCAGTCCTCCTACATCATCTTGCCGAATGGAAACTTCGATCCATGGCATGCACTTGGTAAACTGAACAGCACTACCACTCTCATAACCCCTGTTGTAATCGATGGTAAGTGATTAAAATCAGCGAGACTAAGCCATACAGTCGACTTGCGCCTACTTTTACTGAACTTCTACTTCCAGGAGCAGCCCACTGTGCTGACATGTACGCCCCACTTCCGAGTGATACACCAGCGTTGACTGCTGCTCGGAATCTCATCGCTGCGCAACTTCATCAATGGCTCCAGTCCATCAACTAATCTTATTTCCCTAGCAAATAAAGTATTTATTTTTGTGCAACAGTTCAATCAATTATATTAAAAATGGTCAGTCCGATCTACAATGTATTTTATATATTCTCGTGTCCGCTGCAGAAACATTTTCATCCTAGGATTACCCCGTGCCGTGAACGGAGCATTTGACGGGTCCTGGCCTCTTCCCACTGTTCTCCATTCTATCAAAAGGGAATTTGAGTGTAAACTCGACTTTTTTAGAATTCAGCGATTGAAATCAGCACCAGGCAAAGGCTGTTTGTGGTGAAATAAGCTCTGTAAAAGAGGTATGAAGCCCTTTTCTCATGTGATTAAGAAGAACCTCCCTGGAAGCACATGCAGGCAGTTTTGCATTCACTTTATGCGGTATGGCACCCCCAAGAGGTGGCTTTATCCGGCCAGCACAACCACAATTCTCCCAAGCCATACGCTGTCTGGTTGACCAAACGCCATGGAATAGCTTGAAGGAAAAAAAATTATCATTCAAGATCCTCAGCATTTACATTACTGAAGGAAAAGATTTCTGCAGAGTGCGGTAACATCGCAAAATTGGTTGGGTATTGGCCATATTCGGAAGTATTGTTAGAGTATAGGTGTTGAGGAGAGCTGAACTCCCGCTATTTGGCTCTTGCAATTTTTTCTCCCAAAGACCTTTTCAAGGCGAGCCCCACTTAGCTTTGATTTTCTATGCGTCGCGCCACGAGGTCACGGCTGCATATAACTCACATCAGCCTCTACTGAACAATTCTTCATCAGTATTAGTTAGAGCCATCAGAGAGCTGCACTGAACACATTGCCGAATTGGAGAAAGAAATAGCGTCAGAAAAAAGTGCAGGCAAAGAGAAAAGTTCTGAAAATGACAGGGATAGTGCGAGCCCATCATCTCCAAGTCAAGAAGGGAAGATTGCAGTGGTCCCAACTCAGAACCTTCTCAAACGGAAAGCAGAAGATGGTATGAGTCAATTCTCAAAATTTGAATGAAGTTTTTTCATTTGCTCGTACGAGTTCTTCGGTGCCAAATATGAATGTTGATTATTCAGGTGGCGATGTCGATGCAAAGCGCCAGTCTGCAGTGATTGCNCGCAAACGTCAACAGCTATTACGGTGGAAGGGACCATATGGATGTAGGTGGTCCCTTCCTACAGAATTCCTTGATGGAGTCTTTCTGTTTACATAAACAGTTTTCTTTATTCCTCGACTCCCTTTTTCAGGTTTTGATAGGTTTTAAACTGATTTTTTCCTCTTTCTTTATCTCCTAATATTACCTTACTTCCAAGAAGGGGCGTGAATCTTGGCTTGCTCTATTTATTCCTATATTGTTGCTATATGTTTTCTTAGCTCAATTGATTAGCTAATTAAAAAGCGTATCTGGAAACCAATAAATCAGTTGACTAACAAAATGAATAAATGAACCGATTCAGTCCTCCTACATCATCTTGCCGAATGGAAACTTCGATCCATGGCATGCACTTGGTAAACTGAACAGCACTACGACTCTCATAACCCCTGTCGTAATCGATGGTAAGTGATGAAAATTAGCGAGACTAAGCCATACAGGCGACCTGCGCCCACGTTTACTGAACTTCTACTTCCAGGAGCAGCCCACTGTGCTGACATGTACGCCCCACTTCCAAGTGATACACCGGCGATGACTGCTGCTCGGAATCTCATCGCTGCACAACTTCACCAATGGCTCCAGTCGATCAACTAAACTTATTTAACTAGCAAATAAAGTATTTATTTTTGTGAAGCAACTCAGTCAATCATCTCAGAAATGGTCCGTCTAATCCAGTGTATTTTATGTATTCTCGTGTCTGCTGTAGAAATATTTTCGTCCTGGAGTAACCTAAGGCGCCGTTGTGCCATTAGAACGAGGCGTTTGTAGGGTCTTATTGTTAGTCTTTTCTCATTGTTTCCCATTCGATGTAAAAAGATCAGAAGTCATAACTTCACTTTCATAAACAAACTCACCGGGTAGAGGTTGGTGGTTGCGAAATAAGGTTTGTTGAAGATGCGTGGGAAACTTTCTCCCATGAGATTGTGCAGGACCTTCCTGGGCCACCATCTATGCGGAATTTGCATTCTATCTATGCGGTATGGCATTCCCACTAGGATTTAAAGACAGCGACCTTACCAAGACAACACAACCGCAGCTCCCCAAACCTTATGCCGTCTGGCTGACTAGAATCAATGGGATGATACAGAAGATTAAAGTTCTTTATTAGCAATATATCGCAAAACTGAATTGCTTCTTTACCGCATTTGGAAGTATCGTTAATGTGCAGGTGGGGGGAAATAGGGAAAATACTCAACTCCCGAAACCATACATTGCCTATTCGGTCCTTGCATTTTCTTGATCAAAAGAGTGTTTTAATGGAGAGCCTGGTTGAGCTTTGGTTTCTTACAGCTTTGGTTGCATCGCGCGATGAGGCTACGGCTGTATATAAGTCTCATCAGCCCCTTCTCAACAATCGCTTCATCAGCGCAAAGGCCATCACAGAGCTGCACTGAGCACATTTGCGAATTGGAGAAAGAAATAGCGTCAATAAAGTGCAGGCATAGAGAAAAGTTCTGAAAATGACAGGGATAGTGCGAGCCCATCATTTCCAAGTCAAGAAGGGAAGATTGCAGTGGTCCCAACTCAGAACCTTCTCAAACGGAAAGCAGAAGATGGTACGAGTGTTCCTATAAGTTTAAAATAAGTTTTTTTTTTGTTGGTATGAGTTCTTCGGTGCCAAATATGAATGTGTTGATTATTCAGGTGGCGATGTCGT